ACAGGAATGAGTGAGTATCGTGCAATTAGCAAAACAAAGGCAGATCTTAAGTATCTTTAATGTCAATTTTTGTGGGCTACAAAATATAATTCCAACATTACCATCAACCTTTAAGAGTAGACTAGTTGCGCCAATGAGATGTTGAAAACTGGAGAAGCATAAGGTTACGTTAACTAGAAGTGAATGGAGGACTGAAGGATTCAAGATGAAATTTACAAACCGGGAACTGATCGTGCCTAGTTTAACAACAATGGCATAATTCTCAACTGTCACAAACAAATCTCCCCTCTTGTTCAGTTCAATGTTCTTGTTTAGCATAGCTTTAGTATAATGGTATCAGCAGGGCATAGCGGTGTAGACATTAATTAGGGAATTTGCCTGGGATCTTTAATTTCTCTTAGCAGAAACCCAACAGCAAACCAAGGTTATTACATGATGCCACAATCTTGTTAAGTGTTTGAGGTAAAAAAGAAGATAGATTATCTCGAATACAGAAGTATAGATGGACCATGAAACAGAGTTCAAGCTAAAATGTGTTTTATTCCCTCTGTATGTGGTGTGCTGCAACACCGAGTTTGATGAAGAAAATGTGTTTAAATCTGCATGAGTCAAAAATATAAGATATCTATGTAACCAATTTAACATTAAGATACTGTGTGACCAATTTAACGTTAAAACACATTCGTAATCCAGCCATTGATCTTACAGTAGCTCTGTGCAAACGTAAAGGCTCCCCGGTTCTCCTCCTCCTCCTCTTCCTTGAATCCATCACCACCAGCCTCCTACAATTTGATACCAAAAACAGCTCACTTGCAACAGTTGACTGCTAGGTCTTTTTTAATTCAATCTGCCAACGCAGTGCAAAGTCCATTACAACAAGGATTAAGTAGTCCAACAAGAGTTTATCTAAACATAACTGAAAACATGAAGGGATTACCATTCTATTTCTATGCAAGGGATGCGGCTTTCAATGGCCGATATGCTCCCTTCTTCTTTAAGCGTTGTGGTAGAAGTTGACAGTTTCTGATACAAAGTTTTCCAAGTTTTGCAGGCATTCCTTCCCTTGGCAACTCACGAAGCTTTGGACAATCACTGACTTATAGCTCTTCAAGAGAGGTCAGGTTTTGCAGTTCTGTGGATAGAGATTCCAGATTGTTGAGTTTAGAAATGACTATAGAAGTGAGAGTTGGAAGCAGACACTTTTCATCTGAAAACATCAAAGGTTTGAAGTGCACCTAGTGACTCTAGCATCTCTTGCAGCAGACATGCAAGGTCCCTAATACTTCGGATTCTCAGTGTTGTTAAGGAAGTAAAGTGAACAAAATTTTACAGTTGCACTTTGCTGCAATCTTCAATATTTAATTCGCAAAGGGAGGGGAGGCTCACAAGTGAACCCTCCAACTTTGGGCAGCAACTAATGGTAAGCTTCACAAGGGAAGGAAGGCATCTTGGTAAGTCCCCAGTCAGCTTTGGACAATTTTGTATCATGAGCTCATGAAGAGAAGGAAATTCATCAGCTAAATCTCCATCACCTCTATGAGTGGAAGACCAATGTTCCCATTCTAACATATTCATAAACCACAGAATTTCCAAGGATGGAAACCTCTTGGCAGAAGGCAAACCATAACCATAAAACTCGAGACCCACCGTCTTGACTCCATTCATGCCTTGGATGAACAACTTCTTCAATGATGGCAGTCTCCCAAGTGATGGAAGTGACATGCTTTTACTGCAGTTATTGAGGCTCATGTGCCCAATATTGGTGAAAGAGGGATCTCCTACCCAAGATGGAAAGCTTTTACCACCATAAAATGAAATTGCAAGTTCTTTCAGATTCTTATTAGGTTGTAGCTTTTGAAGAACATGCATTTCACCTTCTTCATTTTGATGATCAAGGGACTCACTCCATTTCAAACATAAGCTATCAATACCACGCTTGTCCATTAGATTAGCATCCCTAGCATCTTGAACATTCACCACATTTTCCAATCCAGTAATAGAAAGCTCCCCTTTTAAATGTTTCAGGTCCTTCAATTCTCTAATGCCAAACCGATTGTCCTTTCCAACACTTAATCTGGACAAAACCTGAAGATTTTTCAAATTGCCTATTCGCAACGGCATCTCCACTAATTTCTCAGTATCAGTAAGCTCAAGGACAAGAAGGTTAATTAGATTTTCAATACCTTGTGGCAACTTAGTAAGCTCCTTGCAGCCTCGCAATAAAAGTGTTTGTAAGTTGAATAGCTTGCCCACAGATTCAGGTAACTGTTTAATTGTACTGTAAGACAAATTAAGGTACCTCAAATGCTTCAGATGACCAATAGAATATGGTATTTCATCCATGCAGTATCCACTCAAACATAGCACTCTTAAGTATCTGAATTTTGCCAGCAACTCCTGTAACACTTTGTTATTTATGTAATACCGTGCTGCCCGAGATGATGTATCCATTGGCAATGCTATGAAAGTGCGTAAAGACTCCATGTGATCTAATGCTTCAAATCTTTTAGAAATCTCATCTTGGTGGCGAGTGAATGACAAATGATGAAGCTTTGGAATAAATGCATGCGGCTTGTCTTCGAAGGTATCCTCAAAATGAAAGCATATTTCTCCAGCAACAAATTGAGCTAGATCATTTATGAGGTCATGCATAACAAATAGTGTTTTGTTTCTATTTGACTGTTGGAAAAAAGACATTGAAACTAAATCATGAAAATATGTAAGACCTATGTCTTGCATTTGCTTTTTCCCCTTTGCTTGTTGTATTAGACCCTCTGCCATCCATAGGAGAACCAAGTCATTCTTGTCAATTTCATGGTCCTTTGGAAATACGGCACAATAGGCAAAGCATTGTTTCAAATGGGAAGGAAGATAATGGTAGCTCAACATCAGGTCAGGAAGGATGCCACTCCTTTCTTCTGGTATGTCCCACATCTCCCTCCTTAACAAATCTTCCCACTCAGCATAATTTACTTTACCATGCAGAAGACCAGCCAGAGTCTTGATTGCCAGTGGTAAGCCTCTGCACTTGCAGACTATTTGTTCACCAATTACTTTCAGATTCGGGTGTTCATCAAAATTACTAGCACCAAGGGCATGTGTGACAAACAACAAAAAGCAAGCATCCTCAGACAACACCGGCAGATGGTATACCGGATATGTGGTCATGATGGATGCAACCCTTTCATTTCGAGTGGTTACAAGCACTTTACTCCCAGGAGCTCCTGCCACGAAGGGTGTGCGCAGAACCTCCCATTCCTCATAGTTCTCATTCCAAACATCATCCAAAACAATCAGAAACTTCTTTCCGGAAAGCATCTCCTTTAGTTTCACTTGAAGCGAATTGAAGTCCTTGGAATTGAGACTCTCCAAAGTAACACCCTGCAGCAGAGTCCTAGTTACTCTAATAACATCAAATTCCATAGAGACACAAGCCCAAACTCTCAACTCAAAAAAGTTTTCAATTTTATCATCATTGTAAACTAACTGAGCAAGTGTGGTTTTGCCCACACCACCCATTCCGACAATTGAAATCACACCACTTTCACCATCCATTAACTGTTCAAGAATCACCTGTTTATCCTTATCCCTGCCAAAAACCTGAGATTCATCATCAAGAGAAGAAGTGGAGCGCAGCCTCTCCCTTTTTGTGTCCAATTTCCCTTGGCCACCTCTCTCCCCCGACTTCAAAACATTCTTTTGCTTAAGAATCTGTTGAAATCTAGCAGTGATAGCTTTCATCTCTGCCCCCAGCCGTCCACTAAACTTAATGCCACTTGAATTGAAACCAGCACAACATGGGGGAAATAAGAAGCGTACCTTGCTGGTGGTGCCAAATTGGGTGTGTCCTAGTATTCTCCGGCGCTGGACCTCGGTGTCAATTTCATCAATGATGTCTTCAGCATCGTAAGCAAGGTCTCTTAAATCAGAGAGCCAGAGTTCGAGGCCATGACTGGCGTTGTGGCTTTGCAGTGCGTCATGGAGCAGGGCATTGATTTTGGGCAGAAGATTCTCCCACATGTTGAGTTGGAACAAAAACTGCTCCTTTCGAGCAAAGTTGAGAAACTCGGAAGCCGACAATCGATCAGAAATAAAACTGATGAGGGCGGAGAGCATCACATCAGCAACACTAAAGGCTAAAGGTTTCATTTTTTTCTCTTTGTTTAGGGATAATCAGCAATGCACAACAGATCTTGTGAAAAAATGAACTCTACCTGGAAGCAACAAAGATGAAGGAAGGAA